AATTTGAACAGAGTCTAGTATTAAAACAAAATATATCCTTAGCTTTCGATGAGAAAAAAATCTCGTAGACGAAGCAAGATTTTTCCCGCCAAAAGACTTAGAATATTTTTTGATTAACGCAAGACACAATTCAAAAGTGCAAACCTTTTTTTCCACCGTAAAATTTCCCGCCAAAAGACTTCGATAAAAAAAAACAAAAAAAACAGTTTTTTGATAAAAACTTTTCCTGGTAAGTGTTGATTTTCACAAATGTATTTAAGGTTATTAATAGTCCTGGTTATAATTTCCCGCCAAAAGACTCAGTTTTTTTCGGAAAAATAGATTTTAGGTCATTCTGTTGCCAATGATATTTTCGCGTAAAAATACGGAATAACGTTGGCCCTTTGAAAAGCGCCCCGGTGTGCATACATTCCTTTAACTACGCCTGTGTCAAAGGGAGAAAAACTTTATTCAAGCCCATAAATTCCTCTTGTCTTGTGCCATCGTCTTCCAAACCTATAGGAAAAAAAATTCATCGTAAAGTTTTTGAGGATATTTTGAATTGAGGTGATGGTGAAGGTAATGGTACTTGAACTGTACATGGGATTCGTTGAAACCTTCCTCTGAATTAACTTCAAAGTTTCCAGTCGAAAAGAAGAAAATGTTACGCTTTCCAAGATTGGTTTGATATTAAGGCAAAATAATCATAAAGAGATGAAAATACTCAAGATAATTTTTTTTCATACATCCTCTACCATAGTCCTTAGATTAAACATTGGACATGTAAAGACAAATTTATTGCAACGCCAGATATTATCCCAATTTGCGATAAATACATTTATTTCTGATCAACACAACCCACAATTCCTCCAATCGCTCCGACGAAGGGCTAACGCTCGAAACGTCAGCTTTTTTACCCTTTACGGTGGCTAATTTACGTTTTCAACTCAGTTGTTAACACTAAATTACCTGCTATACTCTCTCACCGACGCAGCACCACAGTTTCTTTAGAAACTTACCCCTTTATTTTTGATCAATCTACTTTTTAATTTATTTCCCATCTTTTTTTTTTAATGCATAAATCGGTATATCTATGTCTAAGACATCACTATATGTCTAGTACCCTTTTCGATGCATCAGGCTGGGTTAACTCTTAACAGGTAATTTAGTGTTAACAACTATAAATTAGCCACCGTCTACGTTTCGAGCGTTAGCCCTTCGTCAGAGCGATTAGCGATGCAGCACCACAGTTTCTTTAGAAACTTACCCCTTAACTCTTAACACCCTACGATCAGTATTCATATTCTCCACACTGTTCTCTATACATTTCCTTAAGTGCTGACAAGGAGAATGTGTTTAGCAATCAAAAGCTTCTTTAGTTGGTGATCATTTCCTTTACTCTCCTGACCTTTTTGTTTGATTCAGGGCTGATATTGTAAGGAGAAATTAGATGTTAGTCTCTCTTAGGTGTCAAAGGGTCAAAAGTCACGATTTAAACCGCTTAATTCTCGGCCAGAATCTGCTTCTCATGGCATACTCATTACACCTCCTTATATCGTTTTTGTAAAATTTAGATTAAATAGTTTTAAATTCAGATATTGAATCGTTCTGATTTTTTCCTCCGTTGCTTGGAAGGGATGCGTTTTTTTTTTTTTTTTTTTTTTTTTTTTAGCTCACGTTTCCTTGTTATGTTAAAATAAAACCGAAAATTCCTTTTTTTATTCATTCTTTGTACACTGGCATAATATCAAAGTGGTTTGTAAAAGATTATACCTCACAGATTGTCTTAGCATGTAACGGTATAGCACAATGGTATACACTTTTGTATTTCCTTATATATTTTAGCATCACAGAAAGTCAAGACGGCCGAAATTCGTAATTTACACTCGTGTTAAAACTTTGCACTCGTGTTACAATTTTGCACTCGAGTTACATTAAAATTCACTCGTTTTCAGCCAATCAGACGTGCGGAATTTTTTCATGTATATTATTAGTTAGCAAAACCAAATTATCTTTCACAGGGTATAAATGTATACATGAAAACCATTCTACTGAAATAATCTTTCAACTCAGAAATTGATTTAAAACTTAAGTGTGGAGATCTCGTGCACAGGAAAAATTAGAGCCACTCTTGCGTTAGAGTCAAACGGATAAACTTAGAATTTCTCCTTCCAATATCAATGCAATATCAAGCAGACAAGTGATGAAAATAAAGAAAAATATCAGAAGGGAATTATTAGTTGATCCAACTCCAAATTAACATCGTAAGAATTGTATGGCAGACAGTAAGCAGAGTTATTGGGGAGATCTTAGGTTAAAGAAAAATTAGACTAGAAAAGAAGGTTATCAACTGACCTGTGGTAATGGCAACTGTTTATAGAATGTTGTTCTTGATAGCGATCGATCCATTACTATCCCCAGCTTTCTGTTTCATTATCACCTAGTGAAAGATGTACAAAAATGGCAACAAAAATAAATTCAGAGTTCAGGATGGTGGGAATAAAACATTCAAAATCTTCTTTAGGAACCAGTCATCGTCATCTCCTTACGAGGGAGGTAAGGGGTAGGGGGTGGGGTATGAAGAGGGGTAGGGGAAGGGGGTAGGGGTAGGGGGGATTTGGGGGGTCACGTGGTGTTTAAGGGAACGGTGTGGGACTAGCCGCTTGAAACACAAGATTTGCTGACTCAGTTCTCCCAAGGCTAAAAAAATATCCGTAAGCTAAAGTGGATTGCAGCATGACGAGAAAAAAACGAGATAACTAACATGAACTCCGACTTCGGTCATCTCACAAATTGACAAAGAAGCTCGTTGTTGTCGACGGTGAGGGCCACGTGGGAAGATCCTTACGCACCAAAAACTGATCTGCGAGGCTACTTATCATTTCAGCTTCGATGCTCAGACGTTAGAACTCGCTGGAACATGCTGAGCAGCAATTCGCACGGCCAAAAACAAAAAGCTTCATATCAAATAGCCTGGATTAGCTCTGAACTCCGCCTGTGAAGCTTCTAGCGCAACTGACATGAATACTAATTGGTGAAAATATATTTGCAATGCAAAAAATTTTCGCAAACATCCCTTAGGACTCACAATCAGTATGCAAATAACACCGCGGGTAATAAAAAGAGAAGTTGTGACATCTTTCTAGATTGCTATAGGCTGAGAAGCCGATAGTCGTTCTAGAGGTTATGATTTTCTAAATTTCACTCTATGAAAATATTTTTTTCGTGAAAAGGCTGTGGATTGATCTTTGAACACGACCGGAGGGATGATTTTAACGCAAACTAATAAAAGAGAAATAAAAAGCAAAGCATCCTGTCTGATAATGTTCCCATCTGGATCCATTACACCTGTTCAATAATTCAGGCTCTGATGAGGACTAAATTGTGCCCCAAGCTACAAGTTGAACGCCGCTACCCATCGAGCTACAAGGTCAAAAGAGAGGGGAGGGGAAGGTTAGCGATAGAGGAAATTTCAGCTAAGATCAATTCGTAACTTGTAATTTTACCTACAGGTTGAAATGTGATCTGAATCACATAGAGTACCAATGACGACATTGTATGCCGTGTTCATTAAGGCTTAATGACAGGGTTAGAGAAAGATAAGGACTCGCATTTTGGCTCCCAATGAGTCATACACCAACTACCCCCCGCTCTAAAAGTCGACAGGCCTAAAGGCAAGTTTTAACAACGTCTACGGTCTGCGATAGCCTCGTTCCATGATTGATCAGTATTAGCACAGAGCTGTTATCACTTACGTTTGCATACTGATTCCAAGCACTTCACTGAAAAAACTGCATTTATGTGAAGCACATAAACCTTTTATGAAGGTGTCACCATCTTTTCTCGATACATTATAGAATGCAGATGTCCACGATGTTTTGCAATTAGATAGCTGTTAATATAATGGCCGTGAGTTAGTAGGCTATTCATCTGTCATTTCTTTGAACTTCAATGGATAATTCCTATCTGTACCCTATACTGTTAATATTTTAAAATCAGCTTTGCACTCGGCCGTTAACTCGCTTCTATTGAGTCCTAAATCGTTTTTCTCTTAAGCCAATTATTACCACTGAAATTTTTTTTCTTTTCTTCGCAAAGTGAGAAGTGGCCGAGTATCATAATGGATAATATAAAAGTGTCAGCACTTCTACAGTTAACACGTTTTTTTACTCTCAGTTAATAGCACTTCGCAGTACATCAACAAAGGCGATAATTAATAAACATTTGCAGTGTTTTTATTAGATGCATTGTCCAAGTGCACCTGCGTGGGGCGTTAAATTATGTTCGAAGGCGTTGATTAGGATCAATAGATAAAAGTTGAAATTCTCCTTGCCGATCACCATGCCGTGTATTCCTGTTTAGCAAACGGTTTCACTGTGACACGCAAATGATTATTAACTGAATGTCCATCCTTCACAGAAGAGAACTACCTCGTCTAACTAACACAAATGCAATGAATCCGTTGCAAACCCTTTTTGCAGATTAAAATTTGCATGCGCGTCAGACGAGCCGTATCTACGAGCTGAAACATTTAAATTTCTCAGCAGGGGGATAAATTTCTCTTTTTAACAGAACGATTGATTAAAATTAAACCTGCGCCTTGAATTGAAAGTTCTGCCAAATTTCAAATGTTACCTGCACGAGCAAGTAGTGTAATGAGTTCAATTTATGTGTGACTGACAGATACCAGTTTTGATACCAGATACGATTGTTACAAGTCCAAACTAAAAATAATTCTTAAAAGTTTTCCTTTGAGAGATTTTTCTTGTTAAAGACTTTCTAGTTGCATCGTGTAATGGTCAGGCTAGGTCTTAATCAATTTTATTTTATTTTTTTATCGGAATTAAAAAAGATAAATAAATAAAACATCACTTACATCAACATATAAATGGACGTTCTTTACATCTCTCCCACCAGGAGCTGGTTATCTGACCGGTTTTTGTATTTAATGTTGTAGTAAGAAAATTGATAGTGATCATCCTTTAAATATTTAATAAACTAATTATGTAGATGAATCCAGTATGTTACAAGTCCAGCGTAGTTGTGAAGTTAAAAACAAACAGATCGCTGTGTCGAAGAGTCGTTTTGAACATTCGCTCACACTGAACAACGAGATGTCCTTAAGACAAATTAATTCTCCTCCCTCACAAGCAGTTGTGGCGAATGAAATTGTTTTCCAGTGGGAAACTCACAGCCACAAAGCCTTCCGTATTTTTCAAGAGATGCGTGCGAAGGAAGAATTATGCGACGTGTATATTTGCTGCGACGGACGGCGTTTTCCTGCGCACCGTGTAGTTTTGGCGGCAACTTGTCCTTTCTTCCGTGAAAAGCTAGCGGCTGAACATGACGAAAGTGAATGCGAAGAGTCATTCGTGGAACTAGAAATACCATGGAATTTTGACAACTTGCTAATGCTAAATGCTTTGGATTTTTTGTATGAAGGAAAACTGATTTTGCAACTGGATCATGTTAAGGACTTATTACAGCTGTTGCACTACTTAAAGGTTATTTGAACGATATTTGTTTTATCTTACTGTTATTTGTTTTCAGTCCACATGAGTTTGGTAACCAGCCGCTTACGGTGATTATATTCTTAACCAGGTAGAAACAAAAAAAAACGAACAAACAAATACTGGCAGATTTTTTGACCTTCGACTAACACTGTTATGATCAGTTATGATAACAATCTGTAACTGTTTCGTAACAAAAGCGTAAAATTATGTATCACACAGTGTTCAGGAAATTGTTGCGTTTGGAATCGAAACTTGTTCCCTTTTTAAATTCATGTAGTTATTTGTTCACTCACATATTCCTTTACCTATTCATGGACTCCTTCAGATCGAAGAGGCTGTCATTGCTTGCGAACGATTTGCTATCGATCATTTGAGAAACCAAAATTGTGTGGGGTATCACAAACTAGCGGAGACTCTTGGCCTCGAGCAATTAAAACTCAAAACAATGGAATACATGGAATGGAACTTCTTACAAATCGTGAACGAAGATGATTTTGTCAAGCTGTCAGCGCATCAGATAACTTCCTTACTCGGAAGTAACAGTCTAAAGGTCAGAAAAGAGGAAAAAGTGTATGAAGCGGTGTGGAAATGGTATAAACACGATCCTGAAAAAAGGTTAGAAGAGGAGCTGATAATTAATTTTAATGAATGATCTATACAGTTAGAAGCAGAAGCGGGAAAATGGCTTTAATATTTCCTGCGCTGTCTTCCCAATCAGTCAAGCGGTACATAGTGTAAGATGTAGATTTTTGGTTATCTTTCATTAAGTTATTTTAGTGGCAAAATTCATTTGGTTTCTTTTTGTCAGTGTTTGATTTTAAGTATTATTTTTCACTACCTCGTTAGCGTTTGTTTGTAATTTGTTCTTCATTAGCGCCTTTTTCGGTTTCTTTAGTTCCCTTAATTTTTCTCACGCCTTTTTCAGCGCCCTTGTGCAGTTTCAAGTTTTTTCGATGCTACTTTCTTACAAAACATGACATTCAGGCGACAATTTTTTTTAACAATTTGTTCTCTACGCACAACGCAGTTTTGTTAGTGTACACTCACAGGTTTGGCAGCTAGTTAAAACGTTTTACGGAGCTTCTCTCTTAAAATGTTTCGTCTTTCGTGGCCGTAACAATTTTCATCGACGACCACGTTTAGACTATCCACGTCTTCGTTTGTTTAAATAAATCTCCAGATTTCTGGATATCCTCGTAGTGTTGTTACTTCGGCCACTTCGCATTAGCAGTTGCACGCATGTACGGTAACACATGAAAATACTGTTCAGTGGCTTTAATTATAATGATCACAAACGGGGGGGTACATTCACAGATTTAATAGTTAGAACCACCATGCACGGCATGATGAACAGTACCAAATTAAAACACATTCAAGTGGATACTTGTTTGTAATCACTAAAAATGTTTTGCTTTAGTGACCTCATCTCGCACTTTCGGATTAAGAGAAATGACATCATTGCCGTTGTCATAGTGACCGATTAACAACAGATGTAGAAAATCTCTTTCGTTTTTAAATTTCAAGGAATGATTTTTCTCTTCCTCTCCCCCCTTCGTATTCTTTTTGTATTCACGCGCGGCGCGCATGATTTCGCAAATTAGCCAATCACGTCAAAGAATTCTAACCTTGACATTGGAAAACTGACGTGGACATTTTTCGCGTATTTTTAGTTTGTTTTCAGGGAGTTTTAGTTAAATATTTTTTAGCTTTCGTTCGCGTAAATTTGTTACTCCTTTGTTTGAAATTTTGAGAAGTTTCGGTGTTTTTATTTCAGCCAAATGTTGTGGTTCACTGAACAAGTTTAAAACATATTTTTTAGGGAGTTTGGACTCTAGCCTCTTTTTTTCGTAAATGGATTTTTTTTTAGACAAAGGGCAGCGAAATAATCAAATCGATCTCAATTGGTGACAATACCTAGAGCTAATAATAAACTGGTCAGGCCTGTCTCCATATCATCCTTTAGGAACAAAGAGCTGGACACAGTTTTGAAAACCATCCGCTTCCGTCAAATCACCACAAAATTCCTTCAAACACGGATACTTCCCGAACTCGTGAAAGGCGAAGGGAAATGCCGCAAGGACGTGGAAGATGCTCTGGCTGCTAGGAAGTTGTCACAAGAAAATAACGATTCAGGAAAACCTCGAAACTCTCGGAAGATCGTTTACCTGTTCAGTATGAAGACAAACCGAGTTGACACCTTTGATGAGGAGCAACGTGCATGCGTTCCCTGCCCCAAGCTGACGTCATTTAGCGATGCAAGTAAAGAAGATAATTACCACTGTGCATTTCTTGTGCAGGGTGAGCTTTATATCGTGTCCAGGAGGGCAGTGAACAGATTCAACCCTGTGACAAAGAAATGGACTTGGGTTGGCGATGGTAAGTTTTTCTCTTCTCTTGGTTTTTTCTATCGGTTCCGCGAACGTTCAACGATTAGCCGTGTCTGTTGGATCATGTTTTTAAGCTAAAGATGTCTAGAGACGGACTTTAGCACTTTGGGACATTTTGGTTGGGGGAAGGATCAAAGTGTTATTAAAAGGAAAATTTTGACAATGATAAAATTAGTTTTCTGAGAAAAGTCTATGAAATAAATTATGAATTGACCCTTTAAGCTTTCCCGCCCTCCGCCCTCCCCAGGACTAATTATGTCAGCCTAAGATTTCTATTTTAAAAATGGATGTGAACTATCACGTGACAGTATGTTTGCCATTTAAGGGCGTGCCGTACGGGAGTCAGGAGTGTGTTCTGATAGAAACAACATCTACGTGTTTGGTGGGAAGCCAGACGACATGTCTGCCCACAAATTTGACGTTTGTCATGGAGTATGGAGCTCACTACCTGAAATGAATCGACGTAGGAGATGCACTGGTAATCTTCTCTTCCTGGTTTCTTTGTTTTTCGTTGTATTTTTTCTTTCTGTCGTCTTCTTGTCCTGCATTACGTTCTGGAGATTCCTTTTTGAGTTGTTGGTGTTGTTGTTGTTTTTCCCATTAAGTACTAATTGTCACTTCGTATTTTACTCTGGATCCCTCTTTCTCAAACGCTGTTCACTCGTCCTTTCTTTTCTAAAACGACAAATGCCGATCGAATAAGTTATTTTTGACAATTCTTATTGGTTTAAGCAAAGAGCGAGAAAAATTTCCCAGTCTAGAGGTTTTTTCTTAGGTATAAGTGTTCCAACACGCTTGACCGATTTTCCTTCACCATAGTGGAGCCCCTCATTTAAAAAGATATGGTAGGCCTTTGAAGTTTTAAATTTTCTCTCATAGGTGTGGCTATTTTGGGTCGAAAGATTTACGTTATCGGGGGACTTAATGACGATGGACCGCTGAACTCGATGGAAAGCTTTCACATACGATCTCAAAAATGGAAATTGCTACCAGGCCTTCTAGAACCTCGTTTCAGTATGGGCGTGGTAACCTGGGCAGGAAGTATCTTTGTCTTCGGTGGACGCAGCGATCGACAAAGTCTAGGGAGCATGGAGGTTTATCACCCTAAGGAAGACAAATGGGTGTTTGCTCCTGCGCAGTTAAACGACAACAGAAGTGAGTTCGGTCACGTGGTCTACGAAAATAAGATATATTGCTTTGGTGGGCGTGGAGTAACTTCAATCGAATATTATGATTATTTGAATGAACAATGGCGCATCGTGGGACGAGTAAGCGACAACACTTATTCAGTGAATTGTTTGGTGTATCCTCCACTGAACTAAATAAATTTCACGGAATTACATTTTATTTTAGTCCTGATACATCCACAGAATGGTACTTCGTTCCCTGATCCAGGTCGAATAAAAATTTGGCTGGTGAAGAAAGAGAAACCGACCAAACCGGAAACAAAATTCCTGGCAGGAAAGACGACACCTAAGACAAAATGAATTCTTATTTTACATTTATTAGTTCGGAAATCGAACCAAAGCAATGACGATGGAAGGGGAATGCCACAACTTTAAACGGAGCGTAAACACGCTTGGAAAGAAGTTCTTTACGGTTGTTAAATGATTTACCTTTTTTAGGTACGCGCTGATACTTCACTGGGTAATATAAATAACAATAGATTTAATAGTGATAATGATATAAGATAATTTTGATGATAATTTTTATAATAATGACGGTGATAATAACTGTACGTTATTTAAAAAGGTTTTCGTTCATAACTGATTGCCCAGTAAACCATATAATAGTGCTGCCTTGATCCGACGTTCTATTGTCCACACATTCATGTGGTTCGTGGGCGCGCTTGTTCTGGGGTTCTTAGAAGGAAGGCAGATCCTCTGACGGGCGGAGTACTCACGTGGGAGGGCTCAAGCTCAGGCTCAGTAAATATCCTATTGGCTTGGCAACAACAAAACAACACAAACAGGGGTCTTCTAAAGCCCTGCATGTTCCAACACAATAAGAACGGGTGCACAGCGGAGTTCAGCAGAATCAACAGAACTGTAAAGTTGTATGTGTTGGAACCATAGTTGACTGAGGGAGCGTAGTAGGTTAATAGGTAAGTCGTATAGTTAGGCAAACGACAAATTGTGTGAATAAAAGTCACCAAAACTAGCAATTTGGTGATGTTTTTGCGTGCGCGTAATCTGGCCGCCTGTGAGATTTCCGTTGCCCTGCGTTGTCTGCACCATAGCGTGTAAATGATTCGAAAATACAAAGGGAACATCACAAGAACTGAGCTTATGCCCAAGAAGAAGATACACATCACATAAGCCTTGGGCGAAACCCAGTTTGGCCAGTTTTCCACGCAGAAATCAATCGTTTCGTCGTAGGCAAAAACGATAAGCGTTGGCAAGTTCGCCGCGAAAGCTGAGAGCCAACAAAACGCCACAACGGCATTGATGCGCGAGGTTGTAAGCGGCGCCCTTCGGCTACGAACCATTATGGACGTATAGCGTTCGACGGCGATGGCAATGAGTAAAAACCCAGACGCCGTGGAACTAGTCCACAGGGTACCACTTCCTGTTATGAACTTGCAAAAGTAGTTACCTGTGGTATCTACTGGATGACGTAATGCAATGACACTGAAAAGCACGTGACGAGGGAAGATGAATAAACCAATCACAAAATCTGTTATCGCTAAGTTGAAGATCAAGTTGTTCATGGGAATTCGCAATGATTTGCTCCGATAAATAACAGCGAAAACCAAAGCATTAAATACGAGACATACTGGAATCAGGATTGCGAATAAGCACAGGAGTAACAAGTCAATACCGTCGCTCATACTGTCTCAAACAGAGCCAATGATCTCCGAAGCCTTAGCTCTAGGATAAAGGGAAAATTAAATTAAGACGCACACTCGTATTAGTCTGTGTTCTGTATCGTTAAGTTGCACAACGAGGTCATTATCTTTTCTTACCATTAGAAAAGAGACGTGTTGTTAGGGTAAGACCTAGGAGGTCAAGTTTGGTATCAGGCAGCCTACGATAGGTCCCATTGAGACTACAAACCAGAATTTCCTCACCCCCAAAATCCCGTTAGGTGCCACCCGATTCTAGTAGCTCAATTGAAATGCAACCCAACAATAGTCAATCCAGTTGTGAAAATACGACCCTATCAATGGCACATCCCCATTAGAAAGTACACCCTGCCCCGAGCATAAAAGATATCAACTTGTACAGTAAATGGTTTGAACCCGGGGGTAACATGTAATAGTGTAGTTTGATCGTCTGGGTGAGTGTAGTCCTGAGAAGGACTGTTGTCGGTAGTGGTGACTGACGTTTCGACAACCTGACCGGACTAAGTACATTCGACTGACAACAACCTTTCACTTGACTCTGATGATGAATTCCGCTCAGGTTGTCGAAACGTCAGTCACCACTACCGACAACAGTCCTTCTCAGGACTACACTCACCCGAACGATCAAACTACACTATTACATATCAACTTGTGTTCGTTTTAGTGAGTAAATAAATTTGCATATCCCATTTTCTGCACGGTACTCGTTCTACGCATCTTGGGGTATCCACGAGTAAAAATTGCAGACACAAGATAAACAGTTGCAATTGAAACAAAGCAAGCAATTGCAATGGAACCGAAAAAAAACCAAAAAAACACGATAAGAGCAGTCTTACGAAAAGGAGCGAAATAAGATCAATATATATTCAGCTGTAGTAAGACAAATTCAATACACGCTTTTAGTGGTACACTGATTATTGATCTGAAATTTAAGAGTGCCCGAGAAGCACTTACAATCGACCCGAAGGCTCTTTAGAACGACCTTAGACACTCTTATAATCTGTTGGAAATGTCCCAAAGCATAATAATCCACAACTAAACATCCCCTGCAAAAACGATTAATGCGACATGAATCGAAACTCTCTCGAAGTTTGGCATTCAGCATCAAGATTGGTTCGCATGCTATTGAAAGGCACAGTACCTTTGACTTAAGGCACAAAGAGCGGTTATAACTGTTAACAAACAAACTGATCTAGGTCACTGATACCTGGAAAATTTTTAAATATAATGAATGTTGATGTTTACCTTTAGCTGAAGCTCTTTGAGGTTCAGATTAAGCGACGCGCAGCCATTTCGTATTTACATAAATTTGAGGGATTAAAAGCTACAGACATAACATCTGTGAACAACGAAGCTAAGTTTAACAAACGAAGCGGTTTTCCTTGTAGATAATATATAATCAAAGTTTTGATCCACATTGCGTTGTAAATTAAAACATTCTTTGATGGCTTCAGGGCATAAAATGAAAGATAGCTATCAATCTTTAAAAACAATCATGTATTTTGCAAAAAACTCCAGCCGGCGGAAATCGCAGTTGACACAGGTGAATTATAAGCCAATCATATTCTTCGTTTACTAAATTGTGATATTTCCTGGATTTCCACCTACATGTAATTAATTCATTTGTTCGCTGATGCAAAGAAAAAATAAATAATACGAAAAAAATTGTGTCCTTTTTTAATTAAATTCCCAATGAAGCCCTTTTTCAGCGCCAATAGTAATCCTCTTTTGCTCTTGTTTTCGTACCGGCGGAAAAAAAAAAGAGAGATATGAACCTTAATGACGTGTCCACGAAAAAAAAAAAGTATATTGCCACTTTTAACAATATCAAAGCAAACCAAATGTTAGACAGGATAGAAAGGTCGCCCTAAAATGACCGAAAGTTTTCTATTTTTTTTTCAACAGACATGTACAGTTACAAGTTCAGTTTCTGTTTAGACCTAAGACGATTTGTCTGTCTCAGTTTCGTTTCATACAGTCTGTTAATAGGCTTTTTAGAATTGCAATTTAAAAATTTGCTCAGAAGATTTTGCAAATCGTGTCATTTACTTAATTGACTTGCAAACAGAAAAAAAGCAAAAACCATTATCTCATGTCTTATTTTAACTGGCAAGGTCAAATCATTGTTTTTTATACCCATAGAGGGTTTAACTTCTTTTAACGTCCGTGTAAAATTCCAAACTGACCCGGTGTTCGTGAATAGAGTGATATGGAAGATATATTTCAATCCCAAGGAGTTATGAGTTATATGCTTTTAATTTAAAGACTAAAGCCGCTAAATTAACTTCAAAAGTCAAGTTAATTTTCTAATTTCCTATTCCTGTGGATTAACGGGCGAAAAACTAGCTAACGACCATTTCAAGGATGAGATGTTGTTCTTGCTATTTTTTCCAGCTAACAAATGAAAAAAATAACATCCAAAAAGCTGAATTTCACGCTTCTAACTGAGACGCGAATTTGCCTGATACCATAACGAAGTCTACTGGGTTTTGGTTTCAGTAAGCGTCTGCGATTGTCAACGTTTACCTTTAGAACAAACACCAAGCTGCAAACTGGAAAAACGTTAAACAAAAACCTTGCTCCGAATACTTGCTCAAAAACCCACATTTCAGTGAGCGTAAACCTTTTAAATCTGCTCTAAGATCGCGTGAACAAAATCAACGCAGAAAGAAAAGCGCGTGCATCAATTAAGCCGTTTTATAACACACTTACCCAACAAATGAGCTTAGCCCAAATTCTAAAAGCTCGAGGAAGACGCTAAAAAATGTGTGACACAAGACAATGTGATGGTGAAAAGTGAAATGTGCTCACAGGAAGCAAGGCTATATGAACAGGTGGGGCGGTTGATTGATTACAAAATGGATATATCATATATATCTACGCGAGATAAAATTTTTTTCATTCATTCACGAAAGAGAAAATTTTAGTAAGGCTTTCTAAGGGTTAACAATAGTTCGCAAACCGAGATGTAACTGAATTTGCTTAAATCATTGTGTTTTCCGATCAAAATCATTTAAAATCCTCATAAATACAATACAGAGGTGCAAATGAAATCGCTATGCTCGCATGAGCTAAAGATCACATTGTATCGCATACATTAGTGCTGTATAGGTCAAGTAACTCTCACTTTAAAAGCAGAAATACCGAAAATAATTATGGAAAAACGTCATTTTTCTTACCTTGGAGACGACTAAACAACAGACCGATCGAAGCAGGTGTGAAATTTGACGTTATCTTGAACGCGCTTTGAGAGACGTTTGGTCAGATTTTGACAGACAGTCTGTCAACCCTAATATCAGATTTGGTGCCTAAAATTGTGAATATTCATCCAGGCTAAGAATAAAATCAATCGCCTTATTTTTTTTCTCTCCTTAAAACATCATTAGCTATACATTTTGAGTCAAATTTTTCACTGGGTAAAAATCATTTCTAACTCGAAAGAGACGAAAAAATATATCTTCTGCATCATAGAAATACAGAAAGGAGGCAAAAATCACTTAGCAACAAGGATGGCAGAAAATATAGATGACTAATAAATAAAAATATTTTCATCTCGACGAGGACAGTAATAGTCGAAGGTGAAACAAGTCATCAAATTAGGTTCCAGTATTTCTCTATTTTTTTGTTCATTCTTTCTTGTGTTCATCCGATTATGTTGGAACAATGCTGAGAAATTTTGTTGAAGGAATGTGTTAATTGCTGCATTCTGACTCATTAAAACTCACAATGATTTAGTTGAGGGAAATGGCAATATTTATGTTAATTATTCCTCACAAATCAAAAGCTGTCTTCAAGCACTACTCATACTTTGTCTGAAATGTAGATGAAAAAAATGATATACAAATATATCAGAGTGGATTCACCAAAATACACTCAAGATTACAGCAAACTAATAGTCCCTACCATGCATCCACCTTTGGAAACTACACATTCCCCTCCCCCCCCTACCCCAGCCACAGTGGTCTACCTCACCGGTGGAGCTGCCACAAGGCGTGAGCCTGACTGTGAATCATAAGGGACAGTCCAAGATAACATCAGGCTAAAAAGATCTCTCCTAAGTTGCCGACAAAAAGTAGACCCCCCTATTCCGATAAGTCAAAATCCAACTTTCTCTCCCTTGAGCTTTTGACACAGAGCCACTTGCAGCCCTCCCTTGAAGAGGCAAGTGGCTAGGCCGTATGAAGTTGTTAGTCTTAACGTTAACCCTCTGCATATTCATTGGCCAGGATGGCTTGAAGGCAGGTGATGCCCGCCTTCAAGCGAAAAATTCGAAGTCAGTTTTTCCATCAATTGTCTATCGAGCCCTCTTCCCATACCCATGCTTTTGACCTCCAGATACTGAAAAAATGACAGTTTGGGTAGTTTAGGCACAAAATAATTTGTTTCAAAGAGATTCCTCTTTCTTCAGCGTATGCTGTGCCCAATAATCTCTAGTGCGAATGCCGAACTACGAAGATACTCCAAAATAAACAATAAGTGACATCAGGTCGAAATTTGGTGAAGTTGGGTATTCAAATGTTACTATCACTCACTCATTCCGATAGCATATGTGGCTTCGGCTTGTATAGAAGGCAATAGCCGCAAAGACTCTTTTTGTCAAACAAAATACGTTTTGATGAATTTATTTGAATATTTCATTGACGTGGGGTTTGTTCTGCGTCGAAATTTTCTGAATCGAGAAAAACAGGTTTGATTTGAAACTTATTGATAAAGATAAGTAGAAAACAGTGGTTACCGTTTACTGTTAACAGTGGTTACTCTAAGGCAACGAGTGCGGCAAATGCAACTAGTAACGATAGCAAAGGACACATTTTACAGCTGCGAACATCTGTAAAGTTTTGTTTCTCTGTGTGGCATTTCCTCTTGAGAATCGTCTGTTAGACGCCTTGTTTGGTTGTGTTAACTAGTTTTCTCTACACTACATTGAATGTTGAGCCATATGACAGCAATATCATGATCAGCAGATTTCATCTCTAGTTTTCATCGTTTGAATGTGTTTCTGGGAATATCATTTTTAAGCTCTAAGTAGATACAACGACAGCAAGGCTCTTTGTGTAAGACTGCGGTGAAGTGTCCTTCGAATGAACGTGCGGAACAACTTGGTTTTCGTTCCTTTTACAAGGGATAAGCTTCCAAAGCTCGACTCGAAACGAACGATTCATGTAGCCGTATATAAAGGGGTTACAAGCGGAGTTCAGACCCACAAGAAATGTAACAGCAAGGGCACCTTGAGGCGAGATGTAAACCAAATTGCCACGGCTTAAAAACCCGATTACATAGGCTGGAATCCAGCAAAGAGTAAACGTTGAAACTAGTAAGAAAAGTGTTTTCGTGACGCGAATTTCCTCGACGCCCGCTCGGTTTATAAGTTGGGAGTTCGACTTTAAGGTTCCCTGGAGAGATGATACGACCTGATCGTTATGTTCACGTACTGCTCGTGATACTTTGAAGTAGCAACCGGCGATTGTAAGAGTGCATGGAAGTAAAATAAGGCCGGCGTCCAAAGTTAAAAATATCACAGTGAGACTTGGTTTATGGAAATGCAAAACGCAAGCTGCGTAACCACCGTGAAAAGCAAATTCTGCCCATCCAACCAGCACAGGAAATGACACTGTCAAAGCCATTAGTGTCCACAGGAATATCAGAGCTGTGACGCATCGCTTTCTAGTGAAAATCTTCAAATAGAGAGACGGTTTAACCACTCTGCAGTACCTGTTGACGGCCATGAACGCCATTGTAAGGAGGGAGACCAGGGTTAGATAGTACGTGAAAAATCCTTGAATGATACAACCACCGGATCCATAATTCCAGCGACCACAAATTAAAGTTGCCACTGTCAGAGGTGCAGCGACACAAGAACGGATCAAGTCCGCAATAGCCAATGCGGTCACCCACAAGTTTGTGCTCGTGCGAAGGCTGGGATTTCGTGCAGTTGCCATGCAAATAAAAGCGTTTCCTCCGACGGCAATGATATCGATTAACAAAAGTGAGGTGGATTGGAAGGCAGTTAGGCCAGAGTTGCGAAAAGGGAGTTCCATAGTACAGGTATTGTATAAAACCTCAACAAAAAACGCGAAAGCTAACCAAAACCAAAGGCGCACCAAACCTAAGAAAGTGCGGAACTCGACAGAGCAAAACCCGCCAAATACGATGTTTACAAGCGGTGTTTCCTCCCTCGCACGCTGGCAGCTGGCCAGCAAGTGAATGCGGCGATAGTTGACTGAAGTAACAATCTAGTCAAAGATACCGACTTTAAGATTTTTGATCCAGAAAAATAAAATTGGCCGAAAAGTCTTTGCGCTGATGTAGTGATAGTCTCATTTGTCAGTCTATTGCTAAAAACGGTACTTATCGGCTCAAAAAAGAAAAATCCAGCTGGCTTAATTAACTTGTGTATTTTGCAAAATGAGAGGTCAGAAAGAGAGTTGGTTTACCATCAACATGTCCACTAAAGAAGAAACTGAAGCGCTGGCAAAAATCTTTTACCCTGATTTTAATTTTTAACTTATAATCAACTTATTTACCTAAACTTATCTCACAGATTCCCGAAGAGTGATTCGAAATATCTCTCAATTTCTCATGAACGGCTTTTTCAACTGTATAAATATTTAATCTAAACAAAATAATTTGAGGAGCTTTTTGTCAATAATGAAGCTCGAATATCCATCGCACTCGACAGGATATCCTGCTAAAACTGACATGAACTAGTAAACCATTGTTTGAGAGCTAATCTGCAACTTTAATCAATCGCTGGGAAAAAAATTAGGTTTGCTGGTAGCTTCGGGGAATTAACCATTCCGGCTGAGTATAACATTCATCACAAAGCTACACAACCTTTCTCCATTTTATAAATTTTGGTTCTATTTTCTCTCCCTTTTTTGGCATGTCTGAAGTGAAAAGAAAAATGAATTTTTAAGGATGTCTCTAAATGTTTTCACATCTTGAAAGATTTTACGTAAAATGCAGAGTACATTCTTTGGCCAAACAGATTCGGAGCGCATACAAAAAAGAAGAAAAACGCAAACTTCTACGCGTGAATGACCGCGTTTCCAGTTTTACATTTACGTACATTAGCTCACGCATTCAGTCCCCAAAAGAAAAACTCCAATATTATTGAAAACAAAGTAAACAGTAAGGATCGTTTATAAATTTTACAACAACTCAGCACCAAGGCAAATAAAACGAAATTGTCAAATGTCAAATCATTATGTTGAGAGCCTTGGATACAGAAGCAATTTAACCAGACCAAATTTGGTAGGCTTTCTGCCTTCCACATCTGTTTACATTTGTCACATTTACAAAGCACCCAGTTGTCATTGAATTACATCAAATATGATATGCAGCTCCGGGGCTTGTTATCATTTTTGTTCCCGCACATGTCGCCGATAAAATTAGTATTTCCAACCAGAAATCGAGTGTAAATGACCAAGCGGCTTAAGAATCCTTGCCACAAATAAACTATTTCTCATGGAGAACCAGTTGCTTGTCGTGTGACATGTCTCAACTACTTTTGCAACTGAATAAAGAGGGTAAGTTTCTTAATAAACTGTAGTGCTACGTCGGTGGGAGAGTATAACAAGGTAATTTAGTATTATCAACTGAGTTGATAACGTAAATTGGCCACCGTTAAGAGTTTCAGAGCTGACGTTTCAGGCGTTAGCCCTTCGTCAGAGCAAACGGAGGAATAGTGGGTTATGTGTGTGTTTATATTCAGAAAATGGAGCCACGCTATAGGTGGGAATATGGTGACGAGAAAACAAGAACAAATTAGTGGAATAAAAAGCGTTCGTTGATATCGTGGGGATTAAGAGCGCCGATTTGAAAAATGAATCTTTGATCTAGAGTTTGGCGGCTTTCCGAACTGCCTAGATGTAGGGAAAGGTCTGAAACTGCCATATACTGCTTAAAATGATTGGTCTCATTTTCATTACAACTCCATAACAAAATGTAATTTTGAACACTGACACCAGTGGTTTTATATTCAGTTCGTAACTCTTTAAACTAATTGATTTTTTTTTGGTATATACTATTACAAAACTTACCATAAGGAAGACACAGACAAATACATTATGCTCATAATATAAGTTGTGTTTATATTACTAAGAGAACAGTCATTATTTCTCGCCTTGGCGGGGGGGAAGGGGGGGGCGAAGGAGGATTTTGGGTATCTCATGGTTTTCTCAGGGAATGGAGGGGAAATATCTCACTGCCAACAAAGTAAAAAGAGGGATGGTAGAAAAATGACTGCCAATTAACTGGAAATAAGGGGGGGGAGGGGAACAAGAATATTACAGCACATTTTCGCGACATAACCAAAATCTTCCAACCTCCACCCCCCCCCCCCCCCCCGCGATAAAAAAACGACTGGTCCCTGAAATATAACCTTTATATATTTTAACATGTCAGCAGTATTCAAAGCAGACAAATTAATTTGATTTTTCCTCATCATGAGGCATAGATAATTTACGTGCAAGAAAACCATTAGAAGAAGATCCCAAGACATTCCGCGTTATCTTAGGAATAGCGCTGCGACTTATGCAAAGCTCGCTTGGAGGAAACAGTCTGTAACAGTTTCTCTCAAAGAAACAAGTTGTCCTCATCACAAGCTGTTCACGCGACGTTCTCTGAGTATTCTTGAACACTTCAGCAATATTTTATTCGATAGTAGAAATCGTCTTCCTAAATTTTAATGAAAATTCGTCAAGAAAAAATTTTCACTTAGTGATATAAACTCCGGAAATTTTATAGGGCGTATAATTCAAATATTTTTAAGTTTCGCTCAATGACATACAGTGTGTTATTTACTATACCTCGAGCAACTTCTTCTTTGAGAAAATCTCATAACAAAACGTTTTTCCTATTCGACGCTGACATTGATAAAACAGTTTTACAAAATTGACCATGACGATTCTAGGTTGAAAATTCTTATATGTAAAATTTTTTGCCAGAACATTGCGTAAACTCGTTTGATTTAGCCACTTAATTAAATGCTTGGCGCTTTTTACTGCGCCACAAAAAATGAAGGAAATGAACACCAACCTAAGCCAAGCTTTGATTGATAAACAAATTCTCCTTGTCAGTACCAAAGAAAATGTATGAAGAGGATTATGGAGAATATCGGTACTGATATTAAGGTATAAAAGGTTTAGCGCATTCAAATTTGGAACTTGTCTGTCGTGATTTGACCCACGATCTTGTCACGCAAAACGATTAACTATTATTTACACCCAAAAAGTGACGCAAAAAATCCTTTCTTACGTTCTCCTCGTGATCTATCTCCTCCGTTGTCTGTACCAGCTGAAGAAGAAGCTTGCTGATCATTGCGGAACGAACTTTGCTTTTTCAGAGCTTGCGCTCGTCTCATCAGCTCATTTTCAGCCTCTTTCATGGCCAGTAACTCCTTCTTCTGCATTTCCACATGTTCTCGTTTCTTCCTCTCCGCCTCTTCCCGAAACTTCTCCTCTAACCTGCGAGTCTCCTCCAACAGCATCTTCCCACTGTCAATTGCCCCTTTGGACCTTTCATCCTTCCTGCTCTTCTGCTCAAGAAGCTCCGCCTCGTTCACAGCAGCTTGTGTCTCGCTTTGTTCAAGCCTCTTTCGCTGAACTTCTAAAAGCTTTCGTGCTTCTTGTTCTTGCTTTTCTTTGTTAGCTTCTCTCAACCGTTCCTCCTGCTCTTGTTTACGCATCGCTAATTCTTGCTTGGCTCTTTCTTGTTCTCTTTTCTCCTGATCTTGAAGTAACACTCTTTTCTTTGATTCTTCGCGTTCTTGTTCGAGTTCTTTGCGTTTCTGCTCTTGTTCAAGCCGTCGTCTTTCCGCAGTCTTCATAGCTTCGTGCTCTTCTTTACGACGTTGTTCCCTGGCACGTCGTTGTGTTTCGGCCATCTCAGCAGCTTTCTGCTCGTCCTCTTTTCTCTGTTCTGCCATACGCTTTTGTTGTTCAGTATCCCTCTGAACTTTTTCATCTTCTTTCTGTTTCAATTGATCAAGATATTTTTTCCATTCCTCCTCTTTCGTCCTTTGCTCCTTTTCCCTCTTTTCCTTCTCCACAGCCATTAGCTGCTTTTCAAGCTCTAGCTTTCTCCTATCATCTTCTTGCCTTCTCTCTTCGCACTCTTTTCTCTTTATCTCCGCTTCCTCTCGCTTTCTGACCTCATCCTTCACCAGATCATTTTGTAACAATTCCGTGATGACCTTTTCCTGCTTCGCCAAAAACTGTTGTCGTACACCCGACTCCAACAAGCGGGCCTCCTCGGACGTCTTGCCCCTTTCCTCATCAAACATTTTCCTTCTCTGTGATTCCAAAGCTTTCCGTCTTTCCACAAACTGACTAATCTCCTCATTTTCTTTATGTTTATCCCTCTGCCATTGTCGCTGTTTCTCAGCTTCTTCTCTGGTCTTTTCCTCCTGTTTCTGTTTCATCTCTTGTGCAAACTGAACCCAATCTTCTTCCTGTTTCTTCTGCTCTTCCAGTTTACGCTTCTGCTCGTGTTCCGCGCGTTCCATTTCCTGTTCCAAATGTTTCAATTTTTCCCTCTCCACCTCTTTTTGCTTTTCCAGCCGTTTCTGTTCTTCAGCTGCCTGCTTCGCTTCCTCCTGTAATCTACGTTCTTGTTCTTTAGCAAAAACATCTTTTGTTTCTTGTTGCTTAGCCATTTCGGTCTCTATCCGTTTTTGCATTTCCAGAGAAATCAGTTTATCTGCTTCTTCTTTCGCCTTGTTTTTCTCAACCTGGCGAAGTTCTTCCAGCTGCCGTTTCTTTTCTGTTTCTTCTCGCATCCAATCGTCCTTCAATCTCTTCTGTTCCTGTTGTAACTTGTTCCTTTTACTTTCACTGTTCTCTGTTCCTTCTTTCTCCTTCGCTCTCTGAAAAGCGATCATTTTTGCCGCATCGTCCCATTTCTGTTTCTCCAACTCCTCGCCGCCAAAAGCTTTGCACTCGTTTTGCACCTGCGATCTCACCTCATTGGATATCGCTTTATCTCTCTCCCGCTTTACATTCAATAAACTGTTCACAAAATCTGCATTTACCGAAGCTAAAGCATCGTGCTCAGTTGAATCCGTGTGTTCAGTCATTTCTTTATCGAAGTCTTCCGTAAATGAAGCTAAAAAAGCCAAAAATGTCTAATGAACTCATGAATTCACGTTGCATTACACCACGTTGCGTTACACCACGTTGCGTTACACCACGTTGCGTTACACCACGTTGCATGAGGTAGCGTTAAGTTACATGCACATTACGTCAAGTAACGTGACATGATAGTGCCCGAGTCCGTTGCGTTACCAGAACAATATTCCTCTCCTTGACCAAAGAGGTGGGAAGGGAGGGGAGGTGGGGGGTTATTTGTACTGCCAAACAAAGTGTGGTTTTCAAGGTCTTTATAGGGTCAGAGTTTGAGGGTCTTGGCTGAATTTCTCCCCAACCAAAATGCTGTTCTCCTCCAATAGGGAGGGGGAAGGAATTAGTCAAAAACAAGAATGATTGGAAGAGCACACGATTTAATTTCAGATTATGATCATTAGACTAATGATTATTTTAAAAAAATTCAGAAAAAGCCAACCACCAAAAAAACATGCAAAGAATGATCTTCACAGGTAACCTTCCTTTGAAAATCTTTGATATTGAGGGAGAGGCAAATTTCATTGCGATTGAGTTCTTTGTTGACCATAAAGGAATCAGGTCACAAACTGAATATCAATTACATCATGGGTGATTGCACTACAGATGAAGAGTGATGATTGACCCTGAGGCTTCACTTGTAGATAAAATGCTGTTATAGCTTTGATCACTTCTCCTGATTTGAAAACTTTTCTATGGTAGCCCAAAAGGATCAAACACAAAACCAGTTTCATGTACCAAAACACAAAGAAGTTTTCCCAAGACACAAGTGAATTTACCAATTGAAAACACAAATCAATTAAATATTAAAGACAAACCAATTTCTTAAAACACCAATCAAAAGACTGACCTTAATGTGTGATTCAGAGGTGATATTGTAAGGAGAAATTAGATGCTAGTCACTCTAGGGGTGTAAGGGTCAATCAGCTGAATTAAGCTATTATAATGAAATAATTATCTGAAACAAATCTAAGCAATGGTAGAATTTCCCTTTTTTTTGGTGTTCATTTCTGGAGATGAATGCTTTAATATTGCACATCAAGTTTTATTAGCCTTTAACTCTCAGAAGTTATTAAAATGTAACTTCTCCCCATAATATCCAAACATTGAGGTAATAAGAAAATTCAAACTTATCAGGTAGAAGTTGTTATCTTGATCTAACACCATGGAAATGTGTCACAGCTATAGTGGAGAATTAACAGTAAGATCTTGGGAGTTGAAGGGTTAGCAATCATTTATAATAACAAGGTTTTAAAAAATCTCATGCAGTTCAATTAGTTGCAGATTCCAAAGGCTGTGGGAAATAGTCATATTCATGGAGACACTGACAAATTATAATATTTTGCCACAGCCAAGTTCAATTATAATAATTGTTTTGACATTTTGATCATTGAATTTACTTTTTAGAATTATTTTTTAAGGAACTGCTCATTAACATTTTCAGGCAACCTGCTATTTTCCACAAACAAGCATGGACACAGCTACCCATGAGCAGAAATCAGAAACAAAATTCAGTTAGATGACATTTTGCAGGAATAGATCATTATCTGTAGGCAGCTATTGGCAGGTCATGTGATAGATTCTAATGCCAATGAAAAGAAAAAAATTAAATGCTTTGAAACTAAGATAAATTCTATTTCATTTTCCTGAGAACTGCTACAATTAAATTCACATTTCACTCAATTTTTCTAACTCTAGGAAACAGTTTACATACATGGGGAACTCACAGCTCAATGAAAAATTTTCAGAATTATTTTTAGGAACTGTTCTGTAACATCTTGAGGCAATCTGCTATTTTCCATGGACAAGAATGGAAACAGTTTATATATGTGAAGAAAGTCACTGCTCGATTCAAAAGAAGAGAAAAAAGGATATTTCATCAAATTTGTTTATAAAAATATAATTGTTAGCCTGTCTAGTGAGCTCCGGCTATGATCAAAAATGCACCTTCTGATGAACCTGCCAACTATGTAGTAGGAACTTAACACACAGTTCTACTCAATGAGTGCAAAATAATAATTAGCATGTCATTTTCAAACATGAGATCTTAAACCAGTGCTCCCAGCTGCTACAGTTTTGGTAGGACATATTTTTGGGCAGTAAATTTACCGAGAAAGTTGTCAATTTAGCAATCTAAATTGAACATAGTGTTTGTGGTCAAATTTTAAATACATGAACATTTACCTACAACATTACTGCAGATACCCTTAAATTTTCTTTATAAAGAATTTGCCACAATTTGTCTTCAGTTGTATTAGCTATTGCTGGAATTTCAATAAACAATTTCCAGACATGTCATGCAACATAGCACTTTTTTTCTTTGGTGATTACTGTTTTCTTTTCACTCCCTCTTTTTCTAATTGCTTCCATTTTATAACTCTACATTGCCAAGATACTACTTCAAAAGGCACATGGTTTGGAGCCTTGTAAGCTTTCCCTAATAATTTCACCTGGGACACGTCAACTTTTTAGGGTGTTTTGACATTAACTTATCTTTGATGCAAATTTCACAAAGAATGGTTCCAAGCTAGCTGATCAATCCTAAAAGATCTTTACTATAGGACATTTAATCCCCTTGAGAAAATAACAGAACAACTTATTTTGTTTTTAGCTGGCAAGGACCAGAGCTAGCTTCAAGAATTACCTAGCATTATACTTATAATATCAAATAAGAGTCTCTTCGATCAAGTCTTATCATTAAAATTAAAGACTTTTAAATAAAAAAAATAACATTATTCATTCTCCAAAAATACACTGAGGATAAACCGCAATTTCTTCTTGAATGTGGGCAACAAGAAGGCAAGCCCGGCTTGATAAAAAAGTGAGAAAAAAGGCTTCACATTCTTTGACCTTGGAGAGGTACAGCACGCATACAGTAACAGTAAGATCGTGATGTAAACAAAATCTTTTTAACAATGGTGTATGCAATCACATGTTTACATCAGAACTTCTCTGCTCAAACATTAAAAAAAAAGTTCATCTACGAAGCGGAATACAAGTTAAGAGTTTTCCTTACGCTCACCTGTTTTGCCTCTCAAAGGTTATCGTCCTCGCCCAAAAGTAAGATTCTGCTATCAGTGCTTGCTGCACAGGTGTTGACGGTCATGAAATAAGAATGTTATCGCAGCCAGCAGGTGTGGCAGAGGTCTTCCAGAGTAATTCGCTCGTTGTTGTCAACTCTGTCTGTAATTCCTGATGCTTGAAGATCGCCTTGGCATGGTAGCTTTAGTAGTAGAACTTAGGAGATCTTTTCTGAGATCTTTTGCGGAAACAGGACCAGATTAAAACCCTAAATACAAAGAGTTTCCGCCTGAATCAACCAGGCTTCTCGCGAATAAACGCGAGAGACTGGTACTCGAGAAGGACCTATCCCGATACCCGCGGGAATCAATCAGCCGCAAGTTAGAATTTCTCCTTTCTTTCTCTTTTGTTCCTCAACGTCCAAAGATTTTGATTAAAAGGTTTCTAAATTTGCGAAGAGATTTTACAAGGGGAAGAAAGAGACCAGACTATCCTAACGCGATCTTCGGTGTTTTCTTTTCTATTTGCCACCCTCACAAAACGAATTTTTCCCAGAATGCACAAGTTAGACTGATAGTATGTGTGTCTAGTTGACACACCCCTGAAAACCATATGATCCCCCCAAAATCCTCCGATCTCACAGGCGATAAGCAATGACTGCCCTCTTAAATAACAACAGAAAGGTTGTCTGTTTGCAAATCTGTTTGTTTATGTAGCGAACAAGAAAATAATGAATTCATCAAAGTAACTTGTTTGCACTAATCCGATGATCAGTGTTTACATTGCGCATAACATATTGATATTAGACCGTCGTGAATTCTTTGTTATTAAAATTAAATCTCGTGAAATTGAAAGACGTTTTCTGAGCACACTGATCAGAGAGGAACACGGCATCTTAATAGGCAAGTGGAAATGGAAAATTTCCCCAAACTAAAACTCTTTCAGATCATATGCATTTTATTTGGATGTGGCCTGATTCTTGTCCAAGCCTTTTGGAACAATCCTTCGATCTTGTGGGACTCACACAACCCAGCGTAAGTTGCATCATGCAGTTATTTGATCTTAATTACGTGGTTTAAGCTTTGTTAGGGTAGGCCATATATTCGACTTAAATGTTCTCAGGAACTTCAACTTGTTGGCAATAATTTAAAGAACTTTTCGATGAAGAAATGTCTTCTAACTTTAGAACTGAGTAGTGCTTGTCAAAGTGTGGAAACATTTGCAAAGATTCACTAGAATTCATAACGGATTTTGTGGTACTCAATAGTTTGCTGGAGGTATGTTTGTTCATAACAAAGTTTATATAAAAAAACGTGCGGTTGTCACGATTTCTGATTCTTTGGTTACCCTTTCAGTTCTTGTGCATTTTTTCACATAAGGAAGATTTAGTAGGTTATCTGAAATAATTTAATCTTGCTCTTAAGGACACCAACCCAATTGAGAACACTTTGAAGGTAGCACTGCCACAACGAGGTGCATCCATTCAGAATTTAAAAAGCCGTTACACGCAGATTTGAGTCGAGATTTAAACGAATTTATAGTTCTGGGCGATAGCTGACAAAATGCCAAAGACAATAGCAAAGCGGATATCATGATAATTATTATAACCATTCGAACGTTAGCCCATTGTCAGAGTTCTGACGGAGGACCAACGATCGGAAGGTCAGCCATGGAAACTATCCTGTGGTGGCCAAATTACATTATCAACTCAGTTGATAGAACCAAACTATCAAGCGTTACCCCCACCGTCGCAATATACCGCAGTTCCTTTAAAAAGTTACCTCACGCCTTGGTGTAAACGATGAACAGATATTTGGTTGACGCCATTTGAATTTGATCTAAGCAGAAATTAACACAATAAACTCTGCAAACGAACCGAATCAGTACGCCTTAAAAATGGTCTAAGTTATAAACCATCGGAGGTAATATTTGCCCGCCTTTAACCACCATACGAGCCTTAAACTTGT